CAGAGGTGAACAACTTGTGTTTCGCGCGCTCATATGACCTTAGCAGTTGCGAGCGCCGCAAAACCTTATACTACTATACTATACTAGTGCTTGATTAGTTGGGCTTGCAGTTTTAAACAGTGAGGAATAACTTTAGATGAACAGTTAATTTGCACTACATGTATCTCGATGACGTTTTGGTTTAAATAACAAAAGTGTAACGTCAGGTGTATTAACTTGTTCAATAAACCAGCCATTCTGTCGGAGGCTGACGGGTTATATGATAAGGATCGTTCCATCTTTCCAAGGGCGGCTCGTGTGGCTAAAAAATAGGGGTGCACAATTAAGCTATCGCAGGTTAAAGATAGTCATGAGATGGTGTATAATTTTTGGATCTTTGGATTGGTGAGGGAAAACCTCATGCTTTCAATTTCATTCTTTTTACTTGTTCTTTGATTTTTAGAACTAAATTTGTTTGTTAGGTAAACGTAAATTTCCGTCATCCTGCAATAGAACTGAATACTCAAGTAATAACTTTCACCACTCCACTACAAAACCTACCTCAGTTTCATTGTCACAGAATCACTAAAATAGTGGCAAGATAGACAATGAGCCAATCACAATTCACTTGAGCACTCTGCTGGATTGCTCGAGGGCTCACACAATTTTGGCATAAAATAGTATACAGTTCATGGAGTTTATTTTTAGACTGCCTACTGTGGGCAGTATTTTTTCTGAAAAATAGAAACATCTCAATGAACACCAAAAGGAAAGTTCTGAAATGCTATGCTTGGTCAACCTTTCTATATGGCTGTGACTGCTGGACAATCACTAAAGACAGTGAAAATAAAATAGAAGCAACAGAAATGTGGTTTCTTAGGAGACTGCTAAGAGTATCGTGTTAAAAACAATCAGGAAACGACAAATGCAGTTTTTGGGACACCTGAATGGACATAAGGGTCTTGAACATCTAACTTTCACTGGCAAAATTGAGGGCAAGCGAGGCAGGGGTAGGCCCAGAACAACATATTTAGGGAACCTAAACAAATGGATAACAGGGAAAGATCAGGGAAACGTAGCTTTTTTCAGAGCATCCGAGCAAAGGAATGAATGAAAAACCATGATTGCCGGGATCGCCGATGTCTGTCGGAGATCTGGCACTGGATGATGATGACGATGACTGAGGGCTATGTTTCGGCACTATTCGGCAGGAGCACATTTGAGATGTGCCGTCTTATTAATAGTAATGTACCGCCAAACTAGCTTCGAGTGTCGTTATCGCTTGGGTTATCCCAAAGAGCGATTAATTGGTCAGGTTACCACAGCTGAATATCCTATTATGTTTAGACAGAGCACGTGAACTTTGGCATGACATAGTAGATGTTTTACGGCACTATAGACACAGGAAGGACAATTACGGCGCCAGTGAGGACCTTGTTTTGGTATAATATTAGGTTAGTGGTTGTTTCTGACTTCTTTTATTTCATTACTGTGGGTGCTTTACGTAAAATAACATAGTTTTTAAAAATTGGGCAGCACTGCACGACTGTGTTCTAAAGACGAACTGCGCCTACATATTTCCTATCAAACGTCATTATCATCATCATTAATATATTTATCATCATCAAGTGGGGTCGGTTGTCTAGGGGTTAGGGGGGTACGTCTCTTTTGGGCTGGTAGAACAGGTTATGTATTTCGTCGTGTTGTAATCGGGCGAGATAACAATGTATAGTTTTGAGAAGAATCGAACACAAGCCTGTCAGTGAATGTGAGAAAA